CTGGGACACTGTGCTCTGCACGGACTGGAGTGTAGCCAACTTGAGTGCTGGCATTGTCCCTACAAGCCGCACGCTCTGCCAGAGGCCAGTCGAGCGCAGGATGAACTAATGATGCAGTCTCTGTCCGTCTCAAAGACACCCATGAGCTGGTTCGTCTTCGAGCTGTTCCGGCGATACCAAGCACGCTGTGCGACCTATCAGCAAACAGTTAAAGCGGCAGAGAGGGTTGATGTAAGAGTCTTCTTTGTGTTTTCGGAACCCGCGCGTCTCGACATCTTGCATCCAGGACGTGACATTGGGCTATTTAAACCCCACCACACACTAACCTCTAGATGAAGGTCTAATCACCCAGTTGTTTAAACCGCTCTAGCGACAAGGCCTTCTCCATTTGGGTAGCGCATTTCCTCGTTTATACTTTCTAATACCTGAACAGCATGAACATTTAGAAAATTTAAAACGGCACAGATTTGTATATATAGTGGCTTCTGGCATGGTTATGACAAAACAGGTGTTCCACACGAAAGTAACAGATACTATGTGGTTGGCGTATTGCTCGAAAACAAAAACTGTCATTTAAGGGCGCAGACGTTGAAAAGACCCCTAAGCTGTGATGCCCAGCCAAGTCTACAACCCATTTAATCGGCCCATAACGTTTTGGTGATGGCCAAACCGATAACCTGCTAGGCATTCTATAAGTGAAGATTCGGTATGTCAGGCAAACACAAACCTCAACGCAGAATGGAACCGGAGTTGGGTTTCTGTATGGTAATATTCATAAATAAGTATAGAATAAAAGAGTACAAACCCGATAGCGGACACTCGATTACAACAGATTAGTCAGTCAAGTTCCAGCGCCTGTTTCCGGATACCAAAGCCTAGGTTCGTAAGCCTGAACGGGAACAATTCTAGGTAATCCGAGTGACCTTCAGGCTCAAGGTAAAATCAGGCGATTGGTGAAAAAGCAAGTTCACTTCACGAATAAATGCGAGGGTTCGCGTGCCAGTGTT